CAACAAACATTTATTAAGCACCTGCTGGGAGCTTTGTCCTGTTCTAGGTAAAAGGAGTAGGGAATACAATGTGATACGTCTAAGCAGCAGCATAAATGAAGCTCTCTGAACGAAACAAGAAGTAATATATTTTTGTAGTTCTTCCTACTTTTTAAATTGCTTTCACACATACTAGCTCATGTTTTTTTTTTTCAAGGTCACATATCCTTCCCTAGGTAGTAGGTAGAACAGATATTATTACCAAGTATTAACAAGTTTGCAAGATTTGCCCCCATTCTGGCAGTGCATCAGTAGGAGAACTAAAGCTAGAGTCCAAACCATAAAGATCTAATTCAGGACTTGAGTCTCTACTTTCATGATCCATTCCTTTTCCAGGCAGACTGCTTGCCTATATAACCAATGTCATTCAATAAAACTGTGCATTAATACTGAAATCTCACAATGCCACTCATAATGGAGAACTCTGTCATTCTGTATCTCATGACAAGTTCCACATGCCATTTCTCCACCAGGTTAATGAGTAGAAATAGTTAACCAACTATGAATTCCATACCTAGGGGTTCCACTTATCTATTGCTACATAAATTATTCTGAAACCCAGTGGTTTAAAACAACAACAGTTTTATGATGAGTCATGATTCTGTCTATCAGGAATTTGGGCTGAGCTCAGCTTGGTGATTCATCTATTCCACATGATGTTGATGGTGATCGCTCTGCTGTATTCAGCTGGCAGATGGCCTCAATCACACTCTGACACATTGTAAGGGAAAGCAAATGGCTGTAACGCTGGACTTTAGCTAGGACTGTCAGCCAGAGCACTTGTATGTGACCCTTCCAATCCAGCAGCCTCAGGGCAGTCAGACTTTCTACCTAGAGTCTCAGGGCTCAAGAGTGATGAGGTATAAGCTGCACGGTCTTTTGTGACCTAACCTCAGAAGTGACATAGCATCACTTCCATCATACTCTTTTGGCTAAAGCAGTCACTAACCTACCCAGATTCAAGAAGAGGAGACATAGACTCCTACCTCTCCATGAGAAGAGTGTCCAAGAATTCATGGCCATGATTTAAAATAGTTATGTATAGGTTTCTCACATTAACTTATAATTCCCCTTCTTGACCAAAGGTGGCCAAGAGAGCTGTCCCATCCCACCCATTTCCTCCTGTAAAATCACCCAAGTTTGCTAGCCCTCTTCTGCCTGTTCTGCACCCTCTGCATGCTCCTGTCCCTTGCAGGGTTGTGTTCGATGGTCATTTCCCGGATCAGGGCCCTCATTACACTAGGTTCTCAGTCTTCATCTACGGCTGCGTGAGGTATACACCAAGGGATTGAGTCCTCATTTCTTTTACTGAAAGGTGCTGGTTGTTTAGAGCCAGGAATGGCTTCTCTCTCCACTGGCACTGCTTTTGTACTGTTCAGTTCTTGAGGCCCTCTTGCTGCTTCCTTGTGCACATGTCAGGTTTGCACTCATCTCTGCCAACTTAAAATTGAGCTCTCAGAGTAGGCTCTTTACCTGTCCTAATAGGATATTTCGTGTTCCCAACATACACTTGAGACTGAACTGCAAAGTGGATAAAAATACAAGCCTCAGGGTCAAAAAGCTCTGGATCTCTAATCTGTGCTCCACCACTTACTGCATGATCTAATCCAAGCTACTTCTTATCACTAAGCCTTAGTTTCCTAGTCTGTAAAATGGAGACAAAGATATATACTTCATAGGGCTATCAAAGGGATTAAAAGTTCTATGTAGACAAAGCAATTATCACATCACTGGTACTTAGTAAATGCCCACTAAATGTTAACTATAGTAATAGTAGTAGCACTATTAGTAGTAGCAATGGTGGTTAACAACATCTAACTGGTAAAGGATACGATGACATAAAGTACTCATGAGCACACAAATGAATTTTTAAAGCTCCAATCTTTTCTCTGTAAATGTATAAACTGGACTTAAATAAAAATATGGATATGGATATGAATATGGACAAACATACACATATGTTAAGTCAAAATATTTCTATTTTCCCTTTTTACCAGGTGTGTTTAGTTACATTTTTAAATGTCCACATGGATATTTTCTGTCATTCATTCATACCAGTTTTTCAAGTAATTTTTACTAAGAGAATCTACCTATTGTAGAAAAGCATTCAAATGCAGTGGTTGGGCTCAGCATATCACAAAGAACACAGCATGATGAACATGTCTCCAGAGCATCATAAAGAAACACTTCAATATTTAAGATGGCTGGATTTACTCCAAGGACTGAGACACAGTCTGCCTATCACCAGCTCAGCTTCAATATACGGTTCTTGGCTCCAGTCTGCAGTTCAATGAGTGTGATCAGTGCAAGTACAAGATGAATAAATCTTAAAGATACTGAACTAAGTTATTTTCCAACACAAGAACACAAGGGGCAAGACAATCTTATTAGTCGATGCCCGAGCTAGTATTTCATCTTGGACTAGCTGATGTGAAGGTTCATGTTATTGACTCCCTGTTTGAATCTTCTTTGGAGAAAAGCAATATTCCACTTTGAATTGGTTATTATCACAACACCATCCCCATAGTTAAGATCTGTCAATATTCCTTCATCTGGGAGATGCTTAAGGTCTAAGGTTTTACTGGTCCTGACATGAAGTAATCTGCATCACAATTCAAATGCAATTCACATCATTTATATAGTTCAAGCTTTCTGAGCAAGTGAGAATCCTCCCAATGGAGACTATATTTACCTGCCATTCATCTACAGTTCTGCAGAAAAAACTAGGTGAAGGATAGATTTAAGGCATTTTAGAGTGTCTGAAATTTAACTTCCCAATAAGCAGCAAAGGATGGCAGGAAACAATGAAAGTTCCTAGATTTGGTGTAAGTACAGTGTATTCATTTCCTAGGGCTGTCATAACAAAGTCCCATAAACTGGGTGGCTTAAATGAGATTTATTGTCTAACAGTTCTGGAGGCTAGATATTCAAAATTAAAGTGTCAGCAGGACTGGTTTCTTCCAAGAGCTATGAGGGAGAATGTGTTCCATGGCTCTCCCCTAGTTTCTGGTGGCCCCAGGTGTTCCTTGACTTGTGAAAGCATAACTCCAATCTCTGCCTCCATCTTCACATGGCTGTCTTCTCCCTTGTGCGTTTATATCATCTTCCCTCCAAGTATATCTACCTTTATCTCCAAACATTTTTTTATATAAAGACATTTCTCATATTGGATTGGGGCCCATCCTAATGATCTCATTTTAACTCAGTTACCTCTGTAAAGGCCCTATTTCCAAAAAAGGTCATGTTCTGAGGGGGTTAGGACTTCAAAAGATTTTTTTGAGAGATACAATTCAACTCATAATATACAGTACACAAAACTGAGAGCAAAACAGAGCAAGGAAATGGCATAGTCATACCACAGCAATGTAAGATGAGGAAAAGTACCAAAGTAATACAAAAGATTCTCATTCTAATCTTCCAAAATTTTTTTTCCATTGTTTAGTTTCCTTTTCTACAAGCCATTAACATTGTTTCACTTTTAATCTCTGTAATCCACAGCACAGAGAACAACTTGATAACTTTTTTCCCCAGATCTGTGTTGGGATATCTAGTTCCCAAACAGATTCTTCTGTTAGGTACAGGATTTCCCTGAGCTTTCTATATTTATTTCTTTAGCAAAAGGGTTTGGAATAACTTGCAGCCAACTGCTCCGTATCTTATTGCTGGAAGTAATAGATATGTATGGTAATTAACATTAGACATGAGTTAGTTGTAAATTGACCAAATCCTTTCAAACAGAAAATT